ATGCAGGAAATCCTTTAGGTCGTCTCTTGATGCCACCACGTCCCGTGATTATAGTCAACGGGAAACTCCAACATCCTAGTCCAGGCAGGGTGACGGTGGCACAGACGCTTGAAGGGTTAAAGTATGGGTCATTTCTGCAGGAAAAGAGCCAAGATCCGCCAAGAGTGGAGGAAATAAAGAATGGGTAGTAAAGGAAGGGAATTACAAACAGCAGTCAAGACCGCATGACCAGGGGGCTGGAGAGATGGCTCAGCGGTTAAGAGCATTTTCTGTTCTTCCAAAGGTCCTGAGTTCAATTCCAGCAACCACATGGTGGCTCACAACCATCTGTAATGAGGCCTGGTGCCCTCTTCTGGACTGAAGAAAGAATACTGTATACATAATAAGCAAATAAATAAATATTTTAAAAAAAAAGACCGCATGACCAGTTTTAGAAAGAGGATTATAATTGACATGAATATTGATTTTGTTAAGAATGTTTATACAGTTACTTGTGTTTTCTTTTCTTGATTCCTTTATCATGTAACATCAATTAAGAGACTATCAGCGGCTATCATTTAAGTTTGAGATACAGAAAAATATCCCTCAAGGGACATTGCTACCTATTCTAAATTTCTAAAGTGTTTGCCATTGTACAAGGGACAGTTATATCACGTTAGGGAAAATTATGACCTGGTTACTGATTTCATTTGGAAATTAAGCATGACATAAGGGGATGTGATTGTCTGTCAACTTGACAAGGGGTGGAGTTGTAATGACAATTCTTTTTTGTCAACTTGACTACATCTAGAATTAACTAAAACCGAAGCAGCTGGGCACACCGATGATGGGTTTTTTTCCTTAATTAAATCAGTTGAAGTGGTCTGACCCACTTCTAATTCAGATCTTTGAGAAGGGAAGATCCAGCTTTAATCTGGGCCACGTCTTCTGCTGTATAAAGACCGTGGAAGAAGGAAGCTGGCTGTCTCGGAAGGACATGAGAGACCGTTTCTGAGAGTTAGGGGAAAATAGACAGGTCAAGCAAGGTGGAGGTCTCAGCAGCTGCTGGGAGGAGGGGACTGATCAGAGCCCGAGAGCAAGCTATACTTTCTGAAGCAGACCTGAGATCGCATTGATGACTCTGAGGGGGCGGGGGCGCAGGGCGGGGAGGAAGGGTCATTCAGAGAGCATGAGAATGCCCAGAGCAGTCGTGCAGACTGGCATTTTTGGCCAGTGTTTCTAGAAGGGAGATTGCAGGAACAGAGAAGGTTCTGCTTTAGGTAGGCTTAGCAGTCAGGGTCTGTAGGCATTAAAGATTGGGCTTCTGGGCTAATCCGTATGTGTGCCATTGATAGGCTTTAAAACAAATCATGTAAGAATAGATTTTTACAAAGGAAAAAAAATCTGCGAAATATTCATTCTTTGCCAGGAGGAGACAGCTTTTCCTTGATGGGCCTCCTCCTTTTCGAATGGCACTTTCAGCTCTGAAGAGGGGCGTCTGTGAAGCTCTTCCATGTTGTTTCCAACTCTAAGGAGAAGTGATTGTGATATTTACTCCTTTCTTGATATTAGTGTGTTGCCAGGGAGACAGGTTGCTGCCCAGCTTGCTACTAACAGCCCTGCTGTCAATCTCCGGTTTGGAGTTGTTCATTTTCTGGGTTCTCTTCCCAATTCTTCTGCCCCATTTTTTGCCGTGGAGTTTGAAATGTTTAGGCTAGATGCAGACAGAGTTAGGATCATTCTGGCGTTGGGGTATTGCTCCTTGCTTTATAATACAAAGTCACCGTTTAGCCGCAGTAATGTCCTTTTCTGAAGGCTAGTGCCCCAGAGCCACCCTAGCTTCCATTTGACTAGTTCTTACTGGTTTTCTTCTTCCTGTTCTACGTACACCTAGCAGATCCATCAAATCATCTTTGTAGTTTTTTAGATTATATATAACTACGTAATTATTGATGTGCTTAGATTTAGATCTCGTCTTTGTTATTGTTACTGTGATGATGGAGATGGATGAGGATGAGGATGGTGCCAGTGTCTCACTAGGTAGCCTTCACTGGCTTGGTACTACTTCACCAGGGAGACCAGGCTGACCTCAGACTCTCAGAGATCCACCTCCCTGTGCCTCTCGAATGATGGGATTAAAAAGTGTGCCCCACCACATCTGGCTACATCCTCTCTTTCATTCTTTGTTTCTTTACTCTCTTGGCTTTGTGTTGCTTGCTGCTTTGTTCGTTTTGGTGCCCAGTTGAGCTCAGGGCTTTAAGCGTACTAAGCTATACTGTCAGCCTCTTTCTGCCTCCTTTTAGACTTTGAACATTTTGTAGTATTCCATTTTCATTTATCCCACGTTGTACCTATTTGATAGTTATTTCCACCCTCCCCCACTGTCTCTTTTGAGTTGGTGACAGTGGTGATGCTGGGTGTTAAGCCCAGGATTTTGTGCGTTGTGCCTTTAAGGGAAACAGTCTACCACCAAGTGAAATCTCAAGTCCGATAGTTTTCCACACCGATGAGCCTTCTTTTAGTGATAGCTGTAAAAACTACCAAGTGTATTCCTGTTAAGTCTGTGTAGACTGGTTAGGACTAGCATTTTTCTATTCTGCCACAGAATATGGAAATCTCACCACCGTGGAGGCTTGCTTTTCCCCTGTTAATTTGTCTTCTTAATCTCAGTAAAAGAATTGGAAAGTAGGCTGAGAAGGACACTTGAGAACCATTTTATCACAGCGCAAGAGCAGCAGGGCAGGCGGACTGTAAATCTCGGCAGCGGGCAGGGAGCGGGAGATGAAGAAAGGCTTTTAAGTTAGAGTCGGCGTATGGGTGTATAGAAACACACTGGTAAAGAAAGCCTGCTTAGGGTTTCGCCTATTTCCCAAAGACAAGATAGACAGAGGAAGGGTTGTACAACTCGGACAAATGGGCAGCCTCAGCAGAGAAGGTCTGCAAGCAACTACCCTGAAGAAGGGGCTTCTGGGTTTTATAAGGACCTTAACCCGTGAGTTCCAGGACAGGCTCCAAGGCTTCTCAGAGAAACCCTGTCTCGAAAAACCAAAAAAAGACTTATTTATTCTGTCAGCGTGTATGCCTATGTGCCAGAAAGAAGAGGACACCAGATCTCATTGTAGATGGTTGTAGGCCACCATAGAGTTGCTGGGAGTTGAACTCAGTACCTCTGGAAGAGCAGCCAGTGCTCTTAACCTCTGAGCCATCTCTCCAGCCCTTTTACTATCCTTTTTAACCTATAGATCCTCATTGACTTTGGTTTGGTTTCCAAGTATGGTTTTTGAATACCCAAAACCTTAATTACCCCCAGGATCGACAATGGATCGATGGGGTCCATCTTCAATTGTGTCAAGCCTGTGTGTTTGATTATCTAACACTCCCTGATGTTATAGTTATTTTATATAGCTTATATAATCGCATAAATATTGCATATTTATATGGGCTACTGCTTAGTGCTAATATACGACTTACCATATGCAGACCCTACGTTTGATCTTCGGCACCAATATAAATAAGTACATACCACGTATTTATGTAACTGCCATTTATATAGACCCAGTATTATAGTAGACTGAGTGGCTATCAGGCCCTAGAGTAACAGAGAGGATCAGCAGGCAGCGAATCGATTATCTTGAGACAGAATTAGTAACTGTAGTGTGGCGAGCACGCTGGACAATGGCAGCTGGCTGCTGAGCGGCGGGAGTGCTGGCCGTGGTGAAGGACAGTGGGCTGGGGTGCTCTTTGCTTGGGGGTAATATTTAGTATGGTTATACTGAGCTTCTTTGTGTGCGGTTTCCTGCCGTGTGATTTGTACAGTGTGAAGGAGTAAAGTCCACCTTCGTCTGCGTACAGCTCTGAGGGGTCAGGGATGGCCACTATGCACACAGTTCCCAGTCACGCAGTCTCTGGTATGCCAATTGGGGCTGTTCGCCTAAGAGCGGTCCTGGATGGCCAAGGTTTATTAGTTCTTGATCTAAGGCTTAGGTTGCAAAGTATGAGCCGGAACTCTGTGAGCTCAGGTCATAGCAGTCTACGGTTAGCCATCTGGGTTAGCGGTTAGCTTCGTATGTGCCGAATAACTCGGATGGAAACTGGATGCAGCTTTGTGGGCTCTCCCTCACCACCAGGGCTTGGGACTTGCTGGGTCTCTGGAACTTCTGTTTCTAGTTTGTCATCTTGGGATGTAACTCTGACCCTTGAGAAGACTCACAGGCCGCGTGCTGTGGTCTGTGGGTCTTTAGCTTCCGCACTGCCGTTTTGTTCAGAGGCTTCCGTTGAGTACCTCCTCGGCCTCATTTGCTGTTCCTTCCTTCTTAGAACACACCCCGTTCTGTGGCTCCATTAGGGACACAACCCCAAGTCTTCCTATCTCCCCTCCACTGCCCATCCTGCTAGGTCAGAAGCCATTCGATGGGAGACAGGCTGTGTGCTGCCTCTGCGTCTTGTAGCTGGCGTAGATGTGTGTTTTATGCCTGCCCTTCTCTGCCTTTCTGTTCCAGCTTTGGGGTTGATGCTTCTCTCTCTCGCTCACCTCGGACACACTGTTTCTCTAGTACAGTCTCTGCGATTCCAGCCGGTTGTAGCCACACCGCTGGTGGCCGAGGGCAGTCCTCTCATCCTCATGTATTTGGAATAACTGTGCAGGAGATGCAGCCCTCTTCCAGCCATGTGAGGGGTTAACACACCCTCTGTGGGGCCCTAAGCACCAGCAACTAGGGTGGGAGCAACAATGTAGAAAGGATATAGGGAGACAACAAGTGTGGTAGGAACCATAGGAACCGGTATTTTCTGCAGCAGGATACTCTATAGAGGTCAGGAGAGCTTTCCCAATAAGCCTGGGGGAAGGAAAAGACTCTCAGGGACTTGCGGTCCCCATGCCCCCATTCTGTGGGTGTCTCCAGTGCCCTTGCAAGAAGTGGGGAGGGGAAACTAGAAGCCACCTAAGTCCCATCGGAAGGCCTGCTGTATATTCCAGACTGCGTCTTCCCTCACAGCCGGCTCTGTACTTTGTTCTGTTGCAGTATGGCTGCCCAAGTGACGCTAGAAGATGCGCTGTCCAACGTGGACCTCCTGGAGGAGCTGCCGCTGCCTGACCAGCAGCCCTGCATTGAGCCTCCACCTTCCTCCCTGCTCTATCAGGTAGGTCTCCGAGAAGACGGGACGCGGCTGGCCGCTCTGACCTCAGCCTGACGTCTTTGTTCCGCTTCCCTCCCCTGCAGCCCAACTTCAACACCAACTTTGAAGACAGAAATGCATTTGTCACGGGCATTGCAAGATACATTGAACAGGCGACTGTCCACTCTAGCATGGTAATGTTGTCCATTTCTCTGTTTTCTGTCTAGCAGGTGTCACATTTCAGCAGCAAATGAACTACATGTTTTCCTGATAGACCAGGTAGAGGAAAAGAGATGGAAATGTCTGACAGTCTTAAGAAAGTTCTTGCTTTTACTATAAAAATAGTCTATAGTTTTGTTTTGTTTTTTAAAGATTATTTATCATGTATACAGTGTTCTGCCTGCATGTGTGCCTGCAGGCCAGAAGAGGGCACCATTTCTCATTATAGATGGTTGTGAACCACCATGTAGTTGCTGGGAATTGAACTGAGGACCTCTGGGAGAGCAGCCAGTGCTCTTAACCTCTGAGACACCTCTCCAACCCAGTCCATACTCTTTTAAGAAATTTATTCTCTCTGGCCCAGAGAAAGTCTTTGCCACAGATGCAAGGGTTCCCTTGGTTGGTACTCTTTCTCTCTCCATTTCTCCATGCCCAAACTTTCATGTGTCAGGTGTACACTCATATGGGACTTGGGCTTTCTAAATGAATTCTGTAAGTGTAATTACGTATTTTAATGATTTTGTGAACATTTTCATCTCATGAAATGCACCAGAGAAAATGCCTTTCATGTCTGTATAGCCCGTTCTGTAAATGTCCACCGTTAACTGTTTGTGTACATTTACTCAGTTTCCCCTTTTGCATAATAAAGAATGCTGTGATGAACATCTTTCTAAATACTTGTAGGAATGATGTTATAAGATGAAATGTTGTGTTTTTGTTTGTTTGCTTGTTTGAGTCACGGTTTCTCTGTGCAACCCTGACTGCTCCAGAGCTCGCTCTGCAGACCAGGCTGGGAAAAGCAAGTTCTCTTGATGCATCTTAAGCCGTTGCCAGAATTCTAGTCACATTTTAAAGACGACCTATGGGATTTTACCTTTTCACCAAAGCAAATGATCAGGAAGTAATGGGACAGAACAGCAAAGCAGTTATTAAAAACGATGGTAGCTTGGGACTGGAGAGGTGGCTCAGTGGTTAAGAGCACTGGCTGCTCTCCCAGAGGTCCTGAGTTCAATTCCCAGCAACCACATGGTGGCTCACAACCATCTACAGTGAGATCTGGTGCCCTCTTCTGGCCTGCAGGTGTACATGCAGGCAGAACACTGTACACTTAATAAATAAGTAGAAGTCTTTAAAAATAAGATGATGATAGCTCTCTTCCCGTGGGTACCGTCCCTGGATTTTTGTGCTCTGTGAAGTAGTCTGTCTTCTCATGTATCCCGGGCTAGCAGCTCTGTTTTTGGATCCTGTCGAAGTCAGGAAGCTTGGTGTGACCTGGAAAAGAAACTGTGAGGCTGCTATCATGGATTCTTGCCCTAGCTTCAGGTCTGCTTTCCAGGCAGCCATTGAGGGCTGAGGGAGGTTGGATGCCCCTCTGTGGTGGCTCTCCTCAGAAATGGCTTACGTGGTCATCCCGAGTCCTTTGCAGCCTGCTGAGGCTGTAGGGATATTTGGGGGGCTGTTGTGGTTGTCTGCTGTGCACGGTGTATCTCAGAGGGGTGGGTGGAGCCATCAGCCGTTCACATCACCTGCTGTGTTCATTCCCCTACTCACACGTGAGTCGTCCCGTGTGTTTTGCAGAACGAGATGCTGGAGGAAGGCCAGGAGTATGCTGTCATGCTGTACACCTGGAGGAGCTGCTCTCGCGCCATCCCTCAGGTGCCTAGCCTTTCCCGGCCATTCCCGGCCCTAGTCCTGCCAGGCCACGCCCCCTCGTGCCCCGCGTGCAGTTACGAGACTTTGCTTTTGTCTCTCGGCGCTTAGGTGAAGTGCAACGAGCAGCCTAATAGAGTTGAGATTTATGAGAAGACGGTGGAAGTCCTTGAACCAGAGGTCACAAAACTGATGAATTTTATGTACTTCCAGGTAAAACACTAAAATAAGTAGAGGGGTTTAATGCTAAGGATAGGGGCAGTATAGTCTTAAGTAAAACAACCGCATTAGACAGAGGACCAAGGCTTCAACACTCTTCTGAGTAAATTCTTTTGTGTCTCACCTCTCTTTAGGGTGAAATTTTACCCTGCACAAAGCTTGCTTTTGCTTTCGTCAGTTCCAAGTGCAGTGTATAACTAGTTTTTCCAACTTTTTTTTTTTTTTTTTTCCTTTTCGGGCATTCCCTCCGGGCATTGCTTTACCCTTTAATTTTGGGGGGGGGGGGGGGGGGGATGGCCACATGGAAGAGACTTGCTTTCTCTAAAGTGGCCCACTGGAAATGTCTAAACAATTTTTTAATGTATTTCTATTTTATGTGCATTTTTATGTGTTTAGCCTACTTGTATGTCTTTAGGGGTGTTGGCTTTGGAACTGGAGTTACAAGCAGTTGGGGACTGTTATGTGGTTGCTGGGTATTGGACCCTGGTCCTCTGGAAGAGCAAGCAGTCAGTGCTCCCAACCACTGAGCCATTTCTCCAGCCCTCCAAACAATCCCCTCCCCCCAAGACAGGTTTTCTCTGTGTAGAAAACCTGGAACTGGCTCTATAGACCAGGCTGGCCTTGAACTCACATAGACCGTCCTGCCTCTGCCTCCCAAGTGCTGGGATTAAAGGTGTGCACCACTACCCGGCTACAATTTTTCAACTACAGCTTTCTTTGAATTTTTACTTAATCTTAAAACTTAGCAAAAAGAAAATCCCCTCTGCTTTTCACCTGACAGCTAGCATCAGTATCATAGATGCTTATTGGAGCATTTTCCTCAGGGACTGTAGTTCTTTGCTGCTGCTATAACAAAATTTCCCAGTGAACCAGTTTGAAGGAGAAAGGATTTATTTTTAGCCCAAAGTTCAAGGGTTCAGTCCATCATAGCAGGGACCTCCAGACAGTAGGAGCTTCGTAACCACTTGGTCATGCCTCTTCCATTATTATGACAGAGAGATAAGAATTCATACTGTGTCCCGCTTCTTTCTCCACTTCGGCAGCCCAGGATCTAAGCCAGGGAATGGCATTGCCCACAGGGGTGTAGGTCTTTCTATCTCAGTTTACTCAAGGTGATCGATCGATCGATCGATTCCCCATAGGCATGCTCGGAAACTCATCTTCCGGGTGATTCTAGGTTCCGTCAAGTTCAGTCAGCAGGCTCCACCCTCGTAGTCTTGCAGGAATAATCAGCCACATTCTTTTACTTTAGTAAGAGCCGCAGCTGCTGAACTGCTATATAAATAATGGTTTCTACAGAGTGAAAGTCTGGACATTGCTCAGACAAGGGTCTCTCTGTGAGAAGGAAGGTGATCCTAGAGCCTAGTGAGGCACAGTAAGTGAGGGGGCCGTCCCTGGAGCGCCAGCGGAGATCCGATCAACTGCTGAGAGGGCTCTTTTCTGCCTTTCCCTGTCTGTGCTCAGAGAAATGCCATCGAGCGTTTCTGTGGGGAAGTGAGACGCCTGTGTCATGCAGAGAGGAGGAAGGACTTTGTGTCTGAAGCCTACTTGATCACGTTGGGCAAATTCATCAACATGTTTGCCGTGCTGGACGAGCTGAAGAACATGAAGTGTAGCGTGAAGAATGACCACTCAGCATATAAGAGGTGAGCTCAGGCCCGCAGCGTGTGGCGGGGTCCCAGAGAGGTCCCATCTCAGCCTGGCAAGTAACAGGCACCTGGCTCCCTTATGTTGAGAGCAGCTACTTAGCAGTCTTGAGACTGTGAGTTTGCGCTACCAAGAGTAAGGTGCAGGAGTTGCCGACGGCTTAAGGGTCTCTGGTACTTTTACACGGCCTGGGGCTTTCTGGTCAGCCTCAGATGTTTATGGGAAAATCTGAGTGCTTAGTAACCTTGAGACAATAAACATGTACATCTATCCCTGTTCACAGTGCATAGGGATTGGCCCAGAGAGCATCTTATCCTAGGGAAAGTGTGTTTTTCATCCAAGGATGCTTAGCTGCAGTCCTCAGGGTTTCCATCCCCTCGCTTCTCCCTTGCACGTCATTGCAGACGTGACGTTTTACAAAGTTAGCCCATGGCAGGTATTCTAGGGTCCTACTGAGCATCTCAGGTCCTCTGGACAGCTCTTCCCTGTGCTGACTTTCCATTTTTAAGAGAACCAGCCTACGGCCTGTAGAGAGGTCAGCAGGAGTGTGCTAAACAAGTTTAGTTGTTGTTGCTATGATGAAATTCGCCAAGTCTAGATTTAGGGTAGGTCTTCCGACCTTAAACGATCCAGGTTTAGGCTTGGTCTTCCCACAGCAAATAGTCAGTCAAGAAAATCCTCCACGAGCATGCCCAGTTGCTTAGGTTTTACCTGATTCCAGGTGTAGTTGACAATAAGATGAACAAGCGGACTACCCTTTATTCTATGCTCGTTCTCTCTCTCTCTCTCTCTCTCTCTCTCTCTCTCTCTCTCTTTCTCTTTCTCTCTGGCTCTCGTCTCTCATTGACTCCCATTTCTTTTGTGTCCAGATGGTAGCTTTTGGTTCATATTTTAAGTAAAATGGGAAAAAATCACCCACACGATTGTGGTGAGTCTTGACCAAAATAGAAAACAGCGCCCTTAATTCATTCCTTCCTTGGTTGCTGTAGCTCCTACCCTAGCATCTATTGGAATCAATAAGATGTACATGTTGAAAGATAGTGTTGCTATCTTTCAGTGATATGATTTATTATCATATTTATTATTATTATTATTACTAAGACTACATACAAGTTTTATTTATTTATTTGTTTTTTGTCTTGTTTTGTATTTTTAAGACAGGGTTTCTCTGTGTATCCCTGGCTGCGACCAGTCTCGCCTTGAACTCACAGAGATCTGCCTGCCCCTGCCTCCCAAATGCTGGGATTAAAGATGTGTGCCACCACCACACAGCTCAAGCTATTTTATTAATTTTTAAGTTTTTTATATTTTAATTAGGGAGTGAGGCTGTTCTGCATTCATCACGTGTTGCTTAGAGTACAGCATGGCTGCTTGAGTTCTCCCCACCATTTACATTAGGGTGGACAGGGAGGAAGGAGAATATAAACCTGTACCCTTGAGCTGAAGAGGTGGCTCAGCAGTTGGAAGCACTGGCTGCTCTCCCAGAGTCCTGAGTTCAATTCCCAGTGACCATATGGTGGCTCACAACCATCTGTAATGAGATCTGGCACCCTCTTCTGGCCTACAGGCAGACATGCGGGCAGAATACTGTATACATAATAATAAATAAAAAAATATTTAAAAAATTGTATTCTTTCTTAGCAGTAAACGTTCAAGTTCCTGACAGTCCCTTCCATCATACCTCACGGCCTGCCTCTTTGTTACATGACCACAGCCAGTTGCTTAGGGAGATGCATTATCATTTCAGACCGTCCGTGAGGAAGGAAGGAAGGAAGTGAATTCAGCATGGATATGACCCTTCCTTGTATAAACTTAAATATTTAAGATTCTGAGTCGCGTAGGGAGGCCCTATTGGCAGTTTCTGTTACATGGAAAGACTCCTCGCTCTTTCCCTACATAGACTCACCGTGTGCCTTCAAGGACTTTCCTGTACAAGCCCTTTGGTCTCCCGCACACTGTGCCGCTGAATAGGTGGCAGTTCAAGGACTCTGCGGTGTTACCATGCTGGCGGGCTGAGACGGCACTTCTTGGAAATCGTGGCGGCCCAGAGAGGGTTTCTAGAAAGATCTTTAACAATGCATTTCAGGGCGTTTTGGAGGCAGAATATGTGGAGGCTTGCCTCTGACAGGGAGGCTAGGGGGTCCTTTGACCCATAAATAAAGGAGGGCATTTACCCGTGTATAGGAGACACCAGAGTAGAGATACCTGTGGGCAGTAAGCACAAAAGCTGTATAAGATACATCTAAGTTGACTAAAGGTTTCCCTAGAACAGTGGTTCTTAACCTTCCTAATGATGCAACCCCTGAATACAGATCCTCATGTTGTTGTGAACCCCATTGTCATGGCGACTTCATTACTGTCATTGATACTGTTATAAATCATAGTGCAAATACTTGATATACAGAATATCTGATGTGCAACCCCTCCCTGTGAAAGGGTTGTTTGACCTTCAAGGAGGTCACGACCCTCAGGTTTTGAACCACTGCCCTAGAGTCAAGGTCAGAGATGCTTCAGGAGTCTGAAACCATAATGAGTGTCCGCAACACACATTTCTGTAAATTAACTCAGGTAGAGGAGAGGAATCCTGATCCCCCAATCCCCTCCCCCAAACTCCTCACCTTTAAATCAGTTTGTAGATATGTTTTAGAATCGACTTTTCTTTCTAGGGCTGCTCAGTTTTTACGGAAAATGGCGGATCCGCAGTCCATTCAGGAGTCCCAGAATTTGTCCATGTTCCTGGCCAACCACAACAAGATCACCCAAGTAAGGATGTGTTCCCCGCACGCCACCGACGGCCCGTGTTGCTGGCGCGGCTGGAGCGGGCGGCGGTAGCTTCTGTCTCCCCCTGTGTTTCAGTCTCTGCAGCAGCAGCTCGAGGTCATTTCCGGCTATGACGAGCTCCTGGCGGACATCGTGAATCTCTGTGTGGATTACTACGAGAACAGGATGTACCTGACGCCCAGTGAAAAGCACATGCTTCTCAAAGTGCGTGGGTGTGGGTAGGGGTGGGCGTGGGAGGGTGGGGCTAGAGCGTGGCTGTACTCGGTCTGGAATCCTTCGCCAGCCTTTCCTTACGCTGACGCTCTCCTGTGTGTGGGTCAGGCCTCTTGACTATGAAATCCTTTTTCCTCTGGTCTGCTGGTCACCTCTGCACACACTTGGTCTGAGGCACAGTCTGCTGAGTACACACCTGCTGTCCCAGCTGGTGACACATTTCTGTCAGGAGAATTCCCCGCGGTGATGGGGGCGGCTGTGACCGTAGAAACGGCATGACCGTGACTGTGCTGGCTGATGTGAGAGCGCTAGTCATGTCCCCAGGGTGTACTGGGGATGTGCACATGGCTGTTGCCAGATGGAATTTGTTCGTTTTGCGCGAAGTTAAATTCTGTAGTTGTGCATGGCTGTGTATTGGATCATGCAATTCTACAAAATCCCTGGGACTCAGGTTAGGCTAGTCAGCATTGCTTTGTCTTTTAGCATCTAGCCTGGAAATCAAATTATCCCTTGTAACTGATTTCAGTGAAGAAGAATAAGGGAAAAAAAATACATTCAAAGCACCAGACTGGAAATAGCAGGTATTCATCACAACGAAACCTTAAAAGGATACACATCTCCACACACACTGTCTCCCTTGCTGTGAGCTGGGTAACGACCGAATGGCCTTTAAGTGATTCCAGGTGTTAAGTACTCTTGACTGTGCAAAGGAGAGCCCCTTTCGTAGCACCATTAAAAGGAAGAGTGATTTGCGATTTCAAAGTTAGCAGCTTGGCAGTGTGCATCTGTAAATTCATAGATCCAAGTGTTAAATGGCACCATTTTGTGGCTTTTCAGGTCATGGGATTTGGTCTGTACCTGATGGATGGGAGTGTCAGTAACATCTACAAACTAGATGCCAAGAAAAGAATCAACTTATCCAAAATAGACAAGTACTTCAAGGTGAGCTTTACATGTGTGTGCTTGTATATATACATATATGTGTGTCTGTATGTAAAGACATTGATATATACATGTGAATATATATATGTGAGCTTTTTTGACAGATTTTTGCTTAGTTCTGAGCATTGATGATCAATGTTTTTATAAATATCTGCGTTGAGTTTTTGCCAAGCGAATCTGTGCCCGATTGTGATGTCTATCAGAATGCAGGAAGATAAGAGAGGGTCTTGAGACTTCTTCTCCCCTCTGAAAGCCAGGCTTTCTCTTTCTTGCTCCTTTCCTTGGTTTCGCCCAGGTTGAATCGTGAAGAAATGGCATCTTACGGTTTCTTCTCTTCTGCATCTGACTGCATGTGCCCAACCCTCTGTTAGTAAAGAGTGCCTCTGGGATCCTGGGGGTGAGGGGGGAGAAGGTTTGCTTATTTTCATCTTATTTTGTGTTAGAACCATTCTATACAATGAAATATATCTGCCAGATACGGGAATTAAAAAGGTTTATGCCTTTATGTTGTTCATCACGCCTATAAACACGAAGAACAATGTTTGAGCTCAGTTTCAAAGTACGTCTGTAAATTTACCAGTGCCTCTTACTGCCAGGCGTCATAATAACTCAATACAGATATATCACTGTCCCTTTGCTTCTCCTCTCATTCTGTCTAGAGCATTTTTATTAGGCAATTTCAGTGCAGCTGAATAGCCAATTACTCTGAATTTTCCATGTAATTATAACCGGTTTAATTACAGAAGAAACCCTGCAGAGACGGAGTTCAAGGTTGCACACAGGAACAGGAGATCATGGTTTTGAAATCTGACATTGATGAAAAACTGTAGATGTGCAATGTGTATTTGGATTTTCTTTTAAGCTCTGCATTAACTGTTAACACTTTCAAGTTCATTTCTTCTGAAGTGTTGATGTAGGTGTTTGTTGTATACTCCCTGGATACTCTCTTTTCTTACCACGAACATTATCTTTTAAATAAAGTATTGCATCTAGGACCATCAGTCACCTGATTCACACAGCTCTGGATAGTTTACAGCGACAGCTGCCAGTTAATTACGCAATATGAATAAGCTTAGGATATTGTCCATTCCCAAGATTCAACCCAGGATTGGCTAAGACACTGGATCATTACTTGATTTTTTTTTTTAAATTTTAAGTGGTGTGTGGTTGCATATGATTTAAAGTGTTTGATTAATCATTTCGCAAACCAGAAAAGGCAATGATCTAAAGGTTGCTCTGCTAAGACCCCTCTAAGAAACTTGATACTTCCTTCTGTGGTTTGTGGAGCTTTGAGGAATCTGAGAGTCAGCGCACCTTTTTTTAGCCAGTGCCTGGCTAAAACTAGATGTCTGGCATTTTTAGCAAATATTCAGCAAAAGATTCTACAGGGCTTCACAAACCTGGATTTTCCTCAAGAATATCTGATCTCTCTAATCCAGGCAATCAGTATTGACGGTAAGCCTTCAGAAGGCAGTTAGGTCTTTATAATCCAAGCAGCATTGGTTAAGACCCAAGCTTGAAACTTCGCATGCCTGGGTGGACAGAGAAGCTGAGAACTGAGCTGCTTGGTAACAGCATTGGTACCCACCTCTGGTCCAGGAGGATATGGATGCAGAGGGCTCAAATAAGACCTATGATCCTGGGCGTAGCAAGTTAAAATGCATCTTCTATATAAGCTCTATGACCCGGGTTGGGTCCCACAACCCACATGAGAAGCCAGGTGTGGTGGTGTGCAACTGTAATTCCCTATGACTCCTATGGCGAGATGGGAGAGTGGAGATAGAATCTCACAAGCCAGTTAGCCTGGACTATACAACTTGGAAGTCATGGGATAAGACCCTTGTATATTGGGGAGCAGATGGACGAGGAGTCTGACAGGGTGGTGGGGAGAGCTCTACTCCAGAAGGACAGCAACGCTCACTCATGTGATGTCTCTTTCGGGCAGGTCTCAGTTTTCTCTGCGATTTGTTGCTGCTGTTGGTGGTGACGTTGAGTTTTTTGTTTTTGTTTTTGTTTTTAATTTAATTTTTTGAGGACTATACACATGAGCACTGTATCTACATCACCTCTACCCTTCTTCCAAATTCTCCCCGCCCCCTCCCAAATTCATGATGCCTTTAGTTATTTATTGTGCGCACACACGCACACATGCGTGCACACATGTACACACACGTGCACATACATTCCACACATGTGCATGCGCAAACACACACGCACACACTACTGAGTTCCTTTTGTACATATTTCTACCACCTGGGATCAAATATCTGCTTCCTTACTCAGGTGTATATAATATTCTTGCCTTCTGTTCAGCTGACACAGAAACCCGCCTCCTCGTTTCACGGTCTGCAATAAACCCGCCTCCTTGGACCAGATGTGTGAAATAAATATACTGAACGTGCATGCTGGTGCTAGTGGCTGCCTGGATCAGAGTGCATGGCCACCCAATCCCAGCTTTTCTATACTTGTGGCTTCTTCATTCCTCCTGATCCCAGTTAGGCCGGTCTGTAAGACATGCAGGTCACAGAATTCCTGGTTGCATTTGGTAGTTTGGCTGATGCTGGTAATTCATTCATATCTTTGAGGTTTTACAGCGTAATGGAGTCCAGGTGTTTGCAGTATTCCCTGAGTGCTCTGAGTTTCCCTGGTGGTGTCTGCTGGAAGGATCTCTTTGTTTCCTATTCGGCGTCCTTTCTTTCGGTTAGTTTCTGTTTCCGTAATTTCTGGTCTGATGTTTATTTCTTGCTGTCTGGGTGGTTCAGGTTAGACTTTTTCCCTGTTTTTCCCGAGTTTGGGGTTGCATCATGAAGTCATTTACTTGTCCTCGTTCTGGTTTATAATATTATTATTTCATCTGTCTGGTGTGTATGAGTAATTTGGCTTATTATTATTATTATTATCTCATCTGTTGTGTTTGGGTAATTTGCCTACGTGTATATGCTGCAGCCCAGGTGTTCAGCTCCCAGCGCTGCACCCAGGGTCGCCAAAGGAAGGCCTCAGAGCAGCAAGGATTTTAGGAAACAAGTTTCTATCTGTCTGAGGGAGAAAGACTCAGACTGTTTGCTCCTTGCTGCCCCTTTCCAGTTCCGATTCTCTTCTTCTAATTCTTTCTAATCTTTAGTTTCTATTCTCTCATGCCAATTCTTTTTAATCCTCTCTTCACACAGCTTATATACACATCTCACAACAAACTTTAGGCAGTGGAAAAGTTACAAAGCTGTTTCTCAGGGTCATAATGCGTTCCTCCGGTAAACAATAGGAAGCAGAACCATTTACCATGGCAACGCCTCGGCGGGGCGAAGAGCTCTGACAGTTCGGCGCTCTTTGGCAAGGGCTGGCATTGAAGTGTCCCAAGCCTAAGGATACATTTTCTCATCCTGTACGTATTCCCAGAGTCCCAGGCGGGAAGCCTGCAACTTTATTATTCAAGGCTGTGAGGCCAGACCATCTTTTGTGGCCCTGACTGTCTGGGAAGCTTTTCCCACATAAAGCAGTTTCTCTCTGCACTTGGTTAATTGTTGTTCTTGTTCTACATGTCAATTTTAGGGCTAAAACATAAACAGTTAATTAGCTGAGTCTTGAATTGTACGGCACAAACGGAGGTTAGATGTTTGTGCAGTGTTAATTGCTAAGGAATTCAGTAGGGAGTGGCTGCCGGTCAGCTGGGCCCGGCTAGAGAAACTAGCAAATATTCCGGGTCCCTCTGTCTTTAAAAGACCTTGATTTAACAAACCACAGATCTGCAGCTCTGTCCTTGTGTATCCTCTTGGAGAGTCTAGCTTGCAATCCATACACAGAGACATTCAGTCTAGCTGATTTGTTCTTCGTTGCTCTGTCAGCTCAGCTAGCTAATGATGGAAAACAGGCTTCTAAGCTTCTCACCGTCTGCGGAGAAGAGGCCAAACTAGAAAGGCATGTTTCATTCACCAGAAGTACACAGTACAGGAGGCAGTTATCCGTCTGTGCCCAGTAAATGAACACGCTGCTGACAGTTGTGAGAAGAATCCCATGGCTATCTCAGGGAGAATAAGATTATAGTATCACACACAGTACAATCTGTCGTGTCCGAGGCAATGTACCCATAAGCCTTGTTTATGAGTTTATCCTCCATCAGACCCTGGCTCGTCTGGTGGGTCATTTTTTTCATTCTCACTTCTTTGTACCCTGGTGGTGATGAAACCAGCAGGGACCCCCCCAAAAACAACAAAACACCCCCCTTTTTCCTCCACACACAACAGCACACCCTCCTTTCCGTGGTTCAGCTTTTCCCTCAGCTCTAAAATACAATTGGCAAATAGATACTGTTTGTATTTATGGTGTACAATGTGATGTCTTAATACATATGTTCATTGGGTACTGACTAAATCGAGTTCATACCTTTTCATGTAGAGAGCATTTAACCGTGTTCTAATAGTGAATGTCAAGTCATGTAAGATTGTTAAATGTTGTCAGCCTTGGGTCCTCCTCCAGAGTTGGAACTTTAGCCCTTAGACATCCTCCCCACTTTGTCTGCCTCCTTGTCATGGCTCTGTTTTCTTTTGCTGGTGGGGACTAAACCCAGGGTCCCTGCTAATAAGCATTTGGCTCTGTCATTAGACTATGAGAACCACGTTCTCAACCCCTCTCCTCTTCACTTAACTTTATGGTGTCTTGGTTTCCTTGTATTCTTGATAAGCCAGTCCTTTCATTGGTACCCACTGAAGGCATCCCAAGAATCTTCTGCTAGGTTACCTTTGTGAAGCATTGTGATTTCTTTCTCATCTAGATCTAGAATGCTTCTCTGGAATTGGCCCCGTATTTATTTCTGTGGGAGGTGAGGGTTGACATTCTTAGAATTTTTTTCTACTGTGGTTATTCAGGTGACCCTGCTTATTGGTTTCAAAGACATTTATTTCTCTGTTCCTCTGTAGCCTCTCCCGTACACAAATCAGTCTGTAGGTCTGTGTCTGCCCTGGGTCTCTGTCTTCTATTTTTCTTTCCTTCCTTGATGCAAGGCCACACCTGCTGCCTCAGTTAGGGTTTCTATTGCTGTGAAGAGACACATGACCATAGCAACTCTTTATTTTTATTTTACTTTTCAAATGATTTATTTATTTATATTTTAGTGCATTGGTGTTTTGCCTGCATGTGTATCTGTGTAAAGGTATCAGGGTCCCTGAAACTGGAGTTACAGACAGGTGTGACCTGCCATGTGGGTGCTGGGAATCGAACCTGGGTCCTCTGGAAGAGCTGCCAGTGCTCTTAACCACTGAGCCCTCTCTCCGGCCCTCACAGTAACTCTTATAAAGGAAAACATTTCATTGGGGCTGGCTTATAGGTCAGAGATTTAGCCCATTATTGTCATGGTAGGAAGCATGGCAGCACGCAGGCAGACATGGTGCTGGAGAGGTAGCTGAGAGTTCTACATCTGGATCTGCAGGCAGCAGGAAGGACAGGAGCCACTAGGCCTGGCTTGAGACTGTGAAGCCTACCCACGCAGGGACACACTTTTCCAGCAAGGCTACTCCTCCATTATGCCACTCCCGGGGAGACTCTGGGGCCGGTTTCATTCAGAGCAAGCACCACACTGACTTACTAGCTACTGCCTTCTGCCTTCTGCCAGGTGTGCTTATCCGGAAGAGGCTCTCCTCCAGCTTTATTCTTCAGGATAATCTTAGATGCCAGCCTTCACTTTTCAAGATAGATTTTCAAACAAAAGCATTTTCCCAGTGAGATATTGGCTTGGGTTCCATAAATATAGGTCTGGGCTGGAAGTGTAGCTTGGTAGTGAGTGAGTGAGTGAGTGAATGCTTGCTTAATAGACACATGGTCCTGGGTTTTCATCCCTAGCAACAACAACAAAGAATAAACTTACTGGGAACTGTCGGATTCAAAGGAAACCCCATTTCCCCCAAATTCCAAAAGGCAGAAGGAACAATGGCCGATCTGTGGTGCCTGTCAGCGTGCCAGCACGCTGGTCTCCTGACTCTCAGTGTCGCGAGTACTAGCTATCCATTTCTAAGTTCGTGCTAGCATCCTAGCTCCTAGCACCTTCTCCCCTCCACTAACCACCCTACAGCTCCTGGGCTTCCCTCTCTCAGCCACTCATTGCCTTTATAACCCTGCTATCTTAGATATGTTCAAGCTCTTCCTCTCTGTGTGTTTCTCTCTCTCTCTGTCTGCTGTGCTCCTGCATCTCACTGTGTTTTCTCTGTTCTCCATCCCCGGCTGTTTACCTCCCTGTCACAGAGAACCCCGGCTAAGCCCTGCAGGTGCATCCACGAGAGCTAGTTAATGAGGGTACTCAAGGCCCAGTCTGCTAGAGAAGGTTCAGTCTACTTTCTCTATCTGCTCTGAATCCCTCCAGATGCTTTTGGCTGTTTTCTCTCTCTATATCCACAATAAATACCTCCCCCTTAGCCATACCATGGGACAGTCGTATTAGTTCATACAAAAACAATAAGCGATTGGGCCTTCTAATACATGAACGTGATACATTGTTCCATCCATTGAGAGTTTTCTCTAGAATTTTAAGGGCAGGGTTTTTGCTTTGAGGTCTTGAAACATTTTCTTTCTGAGTGTCATCCTAACCCGTCTCCCTATAAATTTTCAACTTCTACATGTGGGTTATTAATATATAGCAATGCAGCGGTGTTGGGGCAACAAGGTAAGTTGTCTTTCCACATATTTTCTATGTGTTGTTTCTTAAATTGAATTTCATTCTTTTCAGAGATGTTCCCATACGGAATGCTTTGCAGCCATGTTTAACCCAAGCTAAGAGCTAGCGTGCAAAGCTAAGAGCTAGCGTGAGCCATTATCCCCTTGTTGCTGTTGGTCCTCTGGTGACGTCCGTTGTGACGCTCTCTTCCTTTCGTTGTGTGACTGCAGCAGCTGCAGGTGGTTCCCCTGTTTGGAGATATGCAGATAGAGCTGGCGAGATACATCAAGACCAGTGCGCACTATGAGGAGAATAAGTCCCGGTAAGGAGAGGATCGACGGGCTGCCAGAACTTCTTCCAGGACCCTCTGGGCGCCTCCAGAGCGAGCATTTCCATGTCTAACGTAGTACCTTGACATTCCCACAAGTGTGGAAACCAGTGCCCCATATGGTAGCTCTTTGCCAGATATGACTCTTGGTTTTTTAAATTCATTGGTTAGAGCACTAAACATTTTAATTTCCTTCTTAAAGCAAAGCACATTTTGAATGTTCAGAGTCCAGTGACTAGCATGTTGGACAGCACAACCTTAAAATATGTTTGTCATTCTGAAGATTTCTACCACACAGTGCTGACTGAGAATATAGATATGTGAAAATAGTTTTCTACACTCAGTAGTGTGGTGAAGCATGCCTGTCAACCAAGTCTGGACAGGACCAGACATGTGCATGTACGTTAGCAAGTGTCAGCCAACCCTGGGGAGGAGCAGAGATATGCATGTATGTTAGCAGATGTCAGCCAACCCTGGGGAGGAGCATAGGTATGCATGTATGTTAGCAGATGTCAGCCAACCTGGGGAGGAGCAGAGGTATGCATGTATGTTAACAGATGTCAGCCAAGCCTGGGGAGGAGCAGAGGTATGCATGTACGTTAGCAGAGTTTACAAAATTGTCTCCTGAGGGTTAAACCAATCCAGGACTGTTTTTGCAAGGTCCCTGGAGCTGAGACTGGTCTTAAATTCTTTTTAAAAGAAACCCTTA